GGCCCCAGTTGCGGCGCCGAGCGTGTGAGCAGCCGCCCGGGAGCCGCCGGCCCGGGCCCAGAACTACCCAACCCGTCCGCCCGCTTGCCCGCCATGGGCAACGAGGCCAGCCTGGAGGGTGGCGCTGGCGATGGGCCGCTGCCGCCCGGAGGACCCGGTCCGGGCTTGGGCCCCGGTACTGGGAAGCCGCCTTCAGCACCGGTTGGCAGCGGACAGCTCCCCGCGGCTGGCGCGGCGCGGGTGACTGCGGGACCCCCCGGCCCTGGCGCGGGTCCGGGTTCTGGTCCAGGCCCGGGCAGGTAAGCGCGCGTCGCGGCACCCGGGGGTGGGGGGCGGGGAGCTGCAGTCTGAGGCCGGGGCTAGGGCCCGCTATCCACGATCTAGTCTGGACTGCTGGGTCGGAGTCTGTCTGCACTTTGAATGCTACCTACTTGGGTAAACTAAGTGGTCGTGCTAAGTGACCCTCCCTCTCCGACTTCCCTGTCTTGGCAAGGCAGGATGGTGAGTGCAGGGTCAGTCGGGGCCTACACACCGTGACTCCGTCACGAACCCTAAATTCTCTTCCCCCCAAAGCTGGACTCAGGAGGGGCTTATGTAACCTCAGTCTGGTCCCTCTGCATTGGGAAATAGTGGGATGGGAAACGTCCACTCTGACTGCATGTATCCATTGTGTTGGGTCGAGGAAAGAGCACAATGGGAGTGGCCATCAGGAAAGATAAGTGTCACTGTGAGGAGCAGAGAGACATAGAAATAGTTGAACCATGAACTTGGTCATATGTTGTTCTCAGGTATTTAATAGCCATAACCATCTTGGGAGGGAGGAAGATGCCTCTGGACCCCAAAAGGTAGTTATTTAGGTTCAACGATACTAACAGGTCATGTGCTTTCACCAAGGTTTAGTAAAAACACTTTGTGGTGAAGTAAAAATGGTGTTGAATCATCTGGCAGCAGATATGTTCCTGCTGTCTTGTGATTTTTATTACCACCTCAAACCAGTGGTAAGGGTGAAATCCACATAGACTACTTCAACTAGAACATCAATGACTAAATACTGTGAGTACAGTTTGTTTAGAATTTATGCCAACCTAGTTTCTAAAACAGTCAAGTGGTTCTGAATGCAGTGGAAGAGAATACTAATATATAACAAATCAGTATAGTAAATCAATATATAATAAACCAAAAACTCAGGAAAGCTACCAAGAGACACCAGGATAAAATGGAAGGCATATTATCTTTACTCCAGGTAGGCCTAGGGAGCAGCAAAACCAGGAGTGCTTATGTCTTCATGTGAGTCTACTGGTAACGATGCCCTGGTGTGGGAGCTCATCAGTTGTAAGGGAGCATAATTTTTGCTTTTCAGTTGCCCAATATGCCTCTGATGTGTTTGTCTCCTCAGAAGTAATTTTTTTGGACAGCTAACAGTAATGAACAGCTTTTAGTAGCCTGAAACCTACTGCAGACAAGCCAGGCTGTGAGCTTCCCTTTTAGGAGTGGGATTTGTCCATTTAACATTAGTTATTACAGTAATGCAGTTGGGAGCACACGGTTCTTAACACTGCAAATGCTATCCATTTTGCTGCGTGTTGAACTGCTATTTGAGTTTTAGCTTGAAGGAGGCTCATCCAGGCTTTAGAGCTCTTCCTCCATGGGGAAAGCATCTATAACTGAATGGAAAAACACCTTTTTTGGAGAGCTCTCTATATGGGGAATCTGGCACTCTGCTCATCATTTGTCTGATGTTGCAGATACCAGAATATGTTTTATAATGACAGGGAGGAGGATAGAGTCCACTGCTCATATTCCTGTTCAGTGTTTCACTTCCCTCCATCTGCAGTTTTGCTACAGGGCTGACCCCCAACATGGGTTAGAGGATCCATGGCCCCTGCCGGATCAGCAGTCACATGATCTCTTTCCTGGCTGTGGGTAAGGCTCACACATGGGCCTGTGGTGCCAAGGTCCTGTGGCTGGCAGGCTCAGGGTATGAGCTGTTTGTCGCCAGAGCTCAGGACTAGGGGTGCTCAGGAGACGGAATTTACTCTTCTAAGCCGAAACTCAGCTTGTCACAGCATGTCAGCTGGGCAGCACCTCCATGGTTTATTTTTCCTTCAGCATCAGAGTGATTTCTACTTCCTCTCACCAGAGTGTCTCAGGTACCTGATGCCAAATTTAGCATGTTCTTTTCTGAGATGCTGCTGAACAGGATGGTCCCTTGATGGTGAAAAAACCTTGTGGCATGTGATTTTGGGCATTCAGGGAAGAGCATTAGCTCAGTTTCCAGCAAGCTTGTCAATTTGGGAGCAGTTGGAAACCTCATAGAGGCAGGTGGAAGGTCAGGTAAGGGGGGGCGATCATTTTACTAACCCCAGAGGGAAACAGAAATTACGGTTTTGGGGGAGCCGAATCCTGACTCTTTTTAGTTGCCGTATTACCCCTTGTCACCTCAGGCTGAATTCCTGCTCACACTGAGCTCACTTGGGCTCTGTGAGGGCTTGGCTACAGCCTATGTGGCTGAAGAGCCTGACCTGAATTCCACGAGCAGCAGCACCGCCACGTCCATGTACCTTGTAGCCCTTTGGGTGACGGGCACTTTGGGCATTGGAGGGTCCCACAAGAGAGTCACTGCGTCTGGTCTCAGGGGTGCATGGACAGTTAGATAGGTTGTGTTTAGGTCAAGGCAGGCTGAACACTGCCTCAGGCTTCACTCTCCAAGCTGTGTGAGCTGCATCCTCCTGAAGGAAAGGAAACCTTTCATTCATTGATACGTTTACCTGTTTTTACAGAGGTATGCCTGACACAGTCAGGTACTCAAGTCAATAGGGTTTTACCTATACATACATCCATGACAAACCACCAGTTCAAGATGAAACTTTATCAGACCCCAGGAATCCCCTTTAATAATAATAAAAAAAATTGCACAAAGCAGCCATGCAGATCAGTGCAGCCTGTCTAATCTACACCAGTCTTGTGCTTTTTTGACATTTTGACATATTTTGACATTTGCAAATTGATCTTCATTCAGTCAGCCAAGGTTTATTTCTCAGGACCAAGAGTAAGCTCTTATGCTGGATTTGTTTAGGATCTGGAAGGGTATCCAGGGCTCCCTGTTCTCTAGCATGTCACAGACTGGATGATCAGACATCTCTGGAAGAGACAAATCATCGAAGGATCTTACAAGCGACACTGTGGGCAGTTCGGTGTCTGAGAAGTGCCTCATAGGCAGTACTTACAGAAGCAGTGTCAAGTTAGAAGAGAGGCAGAGCCAGAAGGCATGCTGGAACAACAGGGGTGAGAGGCAGAGAAAGGCAGGTGTGGCAGGTAGATGTGGTCTAGACCCGTAGAGGGAGTGAGCAGGATGGGACCAAGTTCAGGGGTGTGGAGGAGAGGCGGGGTGAACCAGGGGAGGCACCTCTTTATTTATCCTTTAAAATCTCTGATCAAGGTTGAGGTTGCCTCTTGCTCACTTCCAGCCCATATGCCAGGGAGACTTTGTGAGCCAGAGACAGCTGGGCACAGAGAACCTGCTCATTTGCCGGAAGGTGGGGAGGGCTGCTTGGAGAGTCACACCCGAGTTCCCTTCTTAGGGGACTGGTCAGGCGTGGTATCTCTGGTCTGTAATTAACCAGACTTATTATCAATGTCGGCTAACATACTATAATTCTAGAAAAATCTGAGATTAATTTGTGAGGATAAAATGCAAGGATACATTTGCTAGGTTTGGAAATAATGGTCATTGGTCCTTTACCCTTTAGAGATCATGTTGGCCCTAGTGACAGGATTCTCAGGGCGGACATGTCATGGCATTAAATTCATCTAACTTCTGAGTGGTGATGATGTCTAAATTTCATTCAAAGAGGGCAGCCATTTTTGTACCTTGTCGGGGAGAGGTGGTTACGATAATATAATTCCTAGATTATTAACATTGATAATATGCTGCTGATTTTAAAAAGTGTGGAGATATTAAGGGAGAGAAAGGCTATCTTTTAAAAAAGTGTCATTATAGAAAACTTCAAATGTGCCTTGAAGAGAATAAGCTAACAAACTCCCATGTTCCCATTGTTCATTCACAGCTGTCAGCAACTCTTGACTAAGTTTATCGCCCTCACTTTCCCTTCCTAGAAGCAACTTCCAGATATCCTAACACTACATCATCAATATTTCACTATGTATTTCCTCTCTGTGTAGTGTTACCACAGCACATAATCACATCCAAACAGGCTTTTTAATCTCAGCAAAAGTCAGTTTTTATGATTATTTTAGGCATTTATTTTTACAGGTGGTTTGTTGGTACTGTAATCTAATGCATTGCATTTGTTTGATATATCTCTTCTGTTTCTTTAAATCTGTAACTTCTGTCTTTTTTCCTCTAATAATTGATGATTGGAAAGGGTGTCATTTGTCCTAAGGCATTTCGGCATTTTGTATTCTAGATTATGGGATGGTAGTCCTCTGTTGTCATTTAAAGAGAGTCCTCTGTCCTCAGTTTCCTCCAAAACCTGGGAATTATATCTAGAGGCCATTCAGATTCAAATTTAATTCTTTTGGCCAAGAGACTTCAGGTTTTTAAAGGATATGTTGAGGACTTTTGACAGAAAGAACTGGGAGTCCAGCGAACGAAGAGCCAGAATTTGCAGGAGTGTGGGAAGCAGAAAAAGCGCAGTGGGTCACTTTCCTGTTCTTTCCTAAAATTCTCCTCCTCTGAGTAGTTAAGATGATGAGTTTTAGAAGACAAAGCTTTTAGACATTCCAGGGTTATATTTTTCCACCTCAGTTTTGGGGAGCTCTCCCTGCACATGTAAGGAGGAGGCTGCTAGGAGACAGGATTTGGGCTTCAATAAGTCCTCTCTCTTCTCACTAGTCCTTAGTCAGTCATGTCTGAAATGGGGCCCTTTCTCTTGTTAATGGTGGAGGTGGGAGGGACAGACCTGCCATGTATGGGCTATCTGGGCGAGTCTGTTCTTGGGATCTCTAGCCTATGTGCAATAGACTGGAGCTGACTATGGCAAACTATTATAGCTACCACTCCTGCATGCATGCTTCATCACAGGCATTCTTGTAGATGCTTTACACACTTAATCTTCTCTTCACTTGCCTGGTCACATCTTTCCTGCTCAGAAATCAGTTTTAAATAGTGACATGGTGGGTGAGACCTGAGACCTACAGGCCTGCTGCCAGGGCCCAGTGTCTCCTTAGGACTCAAGGCTCTCCTGGTGGGCTAGGACTTGGTGGGCAATCTAGTGGTGGGGACTTCGGTTTGTGGTTTTTCAGTTGGTGCTAGGGACATCACTGCTGGTGTTGATAC